TTTTATGTCGAACTCTGCCGGAGAGAAATGATGAAGAAGCTGACAAAAGAGTGTGAAGGATGCGAAAACGATTGGCCAAGTCAGCGCGACCATGCCTGTTTGATGACCAGTGATCACGATTTGTGGACTTTTTACTTTGACGATGTTAAAAATGTGATCGATTTAAACATGATGCAAGATGTGTGTGCAGATCTCGTCAAACTGGTAGATGTGCCTATGTCCTCAGAATGGGATGCCTTTGTTTCCAACCTACCAAGCATGAACTCTAGTGTAGCAATGATGATAGCAAGTGATATGTCATTTCCCGATAGAWATAACAGACCGATAGCGAACTTTGTAAGCGACATGTGTGATGTCAAACAGAATAGTTGGGAATTATCGACGGAAATATTTAATGAGTTTGTAATCGCCAGTTGGAATTAAGAAGGAGAAGGAGAAGGAATCGACGGAAATATTTAATGAGTTTGTAATCGCCATTTTAAATTGAATAAATGTGAAAGTCTTACATATCGAGATTCAGTTTTCATTTGTTTTCAAGGGGTAAAGACATGGGCTGTGGATGCTTGAATTCCATTCCCAATTTAAGTCTTCGCGATATTTTCCGAAAAGTTCGTTGTGTTCTTGCCTGCTGTGGAGGAAAGGTTGTGATCCAAAACTCTCAGATTGATGGAAAGCAACGAGCTGTTGGAAAAGTTGTATTACAACCTGAATCAAGGAGGAAATCTCGGSAGCGTAGACGCTTTATTCCATGCTGCGAAAAAGAAGAACAAGAAGATCACTAAGAAACAAGTTCAGGAATGGTTAAAAGGACAGCGAGTGTATTCCCTTCACCGGCCGGTTCAAAAGCATTTTCGTAGAAATCGTGTTATTGTTGGATCAATTGATGATGTGTGGGAAATAGACTTGATTGACATGCAATCCCTAAAGAAATACAATAGTTATCATAGATACATGCTCACTTGTATCGACGTCTTATCAAAATATGCTTGGGTGGTTCCAATCAAAGACAAATCTGGTCCAACTTTAGTAAAGGCGTTTAAGCAAGTGTTAGATGAGTCCAACCGCAAACCCCAAAAGATTCACTCTGACCGTGG